AGAAAAATGGTTTGGTTTTAACTTTCCCCCCCCTTTTTTTTTTTTTTTTTTTTTTGGAAAACATGGCTCCGACCCCTTGCTGCAATCATCAGCCTGCTTTCAAAATTCCTAGGTTTTTGTGCTCATGTAAAATTTTATTTATTTAAATTTATAATATTTATTTATATGAGATTCTCGGTTAACCAGAAAGGTTATTCTGTACTGCAAGTGTAACAGGTTTGCTGTACTCTCTAAGTCCACTGCGTTGCTGTAAATTCTAGTTAAATTCTTCTCTAGAACTTCCTTCCTCTCTCTGTGCTGAGAGGGTTTCGAAAGGATTTCCAGGTGAGGAGCATATCAGCGGGGAAAACTGCACGAAAATACACTCAATCCTTCTCACAATCATTTAAAAACGAATTGCAACAGTCTAATAATAGTTGTTTCTATTCCTGGTGTGCAGCTATATCATCAGGCAACGGAAAGATGCACATATCTCTACCCAGAATAATCAGCCACCGCTGACACGGACAGGTGGCCTCCATCACTTAGCCCCATTCTTTCCTGCGCTCCTTGCCCAAATAAGCTCGATTGTTTAAGATGGTAGAAGATCATTAATGGAGAAACCAAACCCTGCAGCTGCAGTCCACAATATACAAACAGTGCTGCTGCAAGCACAACGCAGGCTCTGTTGAGCAGTTTAACCAACAGGGATGGCAAACAGGAGCAGATAGTATTTATTGGTTCTGTAGCTATCGCAAGGAAAAATTAAAAATAAAAAAAAAAGAGATGGCAGGCAAACACTGTAACTGAGACAGCTCCAATCGTTTTAGAAACTTGCTGCACTCACAGTATTGCCTTGCCAAAAAGGAGTGTAAGAATGCGTGTGTTTTCTGCAACCTATTACTCAGAGACTTCAGCCGTGAACTGGGCTTTCTCAGGCAACCACTGCTTCACTAGAACTGCCACCTCCTTTCATTTTGTGCGTATCAGCAGAATAAAGCTGTTAGGATAGCATTTCAGTGACATCAATAGGTCTGGAAGGATTACACCTCTCTCTGGAAAGGCAGAACGCATTTGTGGCTTGCTCTGCTGCTAAAGCCAGGAAATAAAGAACAATCTGAGTTTCATACCATACCTCCATCCATGTGAGAGCAGGCCCACAGTTTATCTTGTTGCCTGCGATGGCTGAGAGACGTGACAGGTAAGCCATCAGCATCTGGGTGACAAGCTGGAACAGAAACACACAGACATACAGTTTTTCTGTAAATACACTGCAGTTTGGACAGATTTCTTCAGGCTCAGAGAGACCATAAATTATCCATTGCCATGTTATAGAAAAATATTCTCTTTTGCAAGGAAATCGGTCTCATTTGTATTACAGCCATCAAACACATCTGAGAACCATTTAGCGAAACAAAACCCTGGCTGCCATTTCCACCCACTTGCACACCCTAAAGAACGTGGCAACTCAGACTGACCCTTTGGCCAAAGTGTAATATTTCAAATAGTAGAAGAGGGTTTTAAAAATACGCTTTGCAATGTTCCTTCTATAATAGGGACATTATAATAGGGACTATAATAGTAAACTTGCTTTTATTAAAGAGAAGCCAGTGAGGGCTTTCCAAAGCTTCACAGTGACAGTGTTGTAAAGCAGTATTGTAGCCCAGAGTTTGTGGGACTATTTAAAACATTGTTCTCCTCAAACGTCTGTTCAAATGTGGTCAATTGAAAATAAAAAATATAGTATGAGGCACCACACAGCTGCGGAGTTACATTTCACAGAGCAGTACAGCATCTTCACATCTTCTGTGCATATAGATATAACACAGATTTTCAGCCTCTTGCTATAAAGTACATATTAAATCAGTTGTACAAATAAAGATGTAAAAGAGGAATGCCTGCAATATATTTTGAAAAACTGAATGCAGGAATTCATTATCCTGAATATTGCTTCTTTTGCTGAATTTAAGAGACGAGAAACTTTAAATTCTCTTTAGAAATAACCTGCTTTAAACCAAAGCAACTAATAAATCAGATTCTCTGATGAGCAATGGGACTGCATTATCAACTTCCTACATTCAACAGCAAAAGCCCTGTAGACTTCAGCAGGTTACTGATTTCAGCCACTGCGCGTTTTTCTAAAGCCATCAGACCTCGCCTGCTTGGCACTGAAAGAACACGGATTCTGATTTATAGATCCTGGATGGATTCTGCTTTGAATCTTTGGAATGGCCTCGATTTCCTCATTTCCCTCTTCAGCTACACATCTTGTGGGCAGGCAACATTAGCTTTCTGACACAGCCAAGATTTTTCCATACTTGTGCTTGATTGTAGGGGGCAAACATAGACCTACAGGTCGCAGAGATAAGTGACCTGTGAAATGAAGCGATGGGCATTGCCCATCACCATGATACATACTCTTACCGCAGACGGACTGAGGCTGAACAGTTTTGCTTTGCTCTGCTGGCTCAAATAACCTCTGTTGCCACGTATTACATTGCCTCCCTCCCCACAGCTTCCAAAATGATGTAGTCAAGATGCACCTGCTACTTCCCAGAAGATTATTTTGGACATGAATAAAGCTCTAAATTAGCAACAGCCGTGAAGCTGAAGGAATTCCACCTCACCATATTCCAGGTGAAGACAGTAAGTCAAGAAATGAAAAATACTTCTTATTCCTTTAGGGAAAAAAATATTCTGTAAGATTTTTAAAGTCTATTTAAATAATGCGCTAATGCAAATATTCTGAAAAACCAGCTTCAGTAATTTTAAGTTTATAAATCTAAGTCTAGCATTCCAAAAGGGATTACTGGTGCAGTGCTGCAGCCCTAAACCAGCACAATTTCCTAGGAATGGTAAGTTGCTAACGTTAGGGCAGGAAATATCTGCATGATTGAAAAAGTTTCCAAAGACACAACAAAATTCTTAGCTAAGGTACTAACAGGAGAGATTCTTTCCTGACACTCTCCATAACCATTCCACATGCAGCAGCACATTAATTTGCATTAATTTTCAGGGCATTTCCCATTAGAAATTTCCCCTTGAAATTAAGGGTAGAAAACACATACTGATCTTATTACTACTAATCGATTTCCTAATCTAACCCAGGTCGCACTAAAACTACTTTGTACATATGTGAAAATATCTTCCAACCCCTTGATGGTAACTGTGTTTAAATGTTTTCAGAGCTGATAATGTACCTCTGGACTGTCCTTCAGGGCATCGGAGCGGGGTAGCTCAGAGAGCTGGGAGAAGCGTCGGTCATAAATACATAGGTGAAGATGTTTATCAAGTACTCTGAAATCTTCATAACTCCGTTTCACGATCCAGCTCCTCCCCTGCATAAACAAAAGAAAATCACATTTAAGTTCCTTATCAATTCAGGTTACATTAGGAAAATGAAAATTTGTGCAGAAGTAACAGACAGATCTTTTTCTTCTCAAAACATTTGATGTGATGAAAGCACCTAGTAATGTTTTCAGGTTTTAATTTGTAGTAATTCATGTTCAACCCAGTTAGTGTCCCTGTTAATTATTTAACAGTGGGTTTGGATGTGGCCTGGCATGATGAGACCTACCCAAAGTTTTCACTTCCACCTGTCTTACAAGGATTTTGTGGCGTTTTCGTGCACAGAGTGTCTTTGCACAAATGTAAATTACAAAATGGTTGTATAAATGGCATGAAATTCGATTCTACACAGATAGAAGAATATACAATCAGGCATCTGAAGGCAGAATTGAAGCTTGCAAAATTTGTCAGACGCCCCAGGCACATCTTCAGCTGAATTAAAAAAAACAATCCATGATGAGTAACACTACCTGAAGATTTACTCCTGAGTGCATATCATTCCCCCAATTAAAATATTGACAAGATACATACTGCTTCAGGGGACAAGGAAGGGACCATGGCAGCACAGCATAATTTGCTTTGTGAAGCTTTTAATATCTAATGACTACTTCTAAATGCTTCATGGCCTATTATGATCAATAAAAAATGTTGTAATAATGCAGCAGTTTACAGGTCAAAGCACTTTATGAACAGTCATTAATCCTCTCAACACTCCCACGCAGCCCCTAAAATGAGACTATTTCTGTTTTACAGATCTGGACACTGACTTGGCGACCACGGACCTCCACAAAGCTCCACCACATTCTATTTCTTTCCTAAAATCAACAGGATGGCCATATTTAAAAAGAAAAAAATAATCTCTATCGGTGTTACACACTCTGCTTCGTGCTCCACATGCAGTTGTCTCCCTTGGGAAAGGATGAGAAAAACAACAAAGCATGCAACAGATGTGAGCCATGCCGTCCAAGCCCAGGTGCTCCTGCAGCACAGCGATGCTAGCACTGCGAGGACTCAGAAGACGACGTCAGAGGAAGGAATTGGGTTAAACAGCCACTCAAAGGCAAAGCCAAGGATTAAAAGGGACAAAGGGATGCTTGGCAACCAGTACCGAAAGCAGGGAAATGCGTGGTCTAAGAGGGGACACAGCATCGTTTCGGTTTTCCATGGGGAAGCAGGTGTAACGCGTGATCCCAGACCTGCTGTACTGCACCGGCTAGAATTCGGGACCCGATGCCCTCTTCACCTGGGCTACGAGCTTGGCCTTGTCCGACTTCCCAATCACAATTCTGCTATTTTCATTTGTTTATCAGGAAAGTTATAACATTGCTTTTATATTAATATTAAAAGCTTGCAAAGCAATTGTAAATGTAAAACCTATAATCCAGCGTACCAGCTATTTTCTGTCAAATTCACTGAAGACAACTCCAGACTGCGCACGGTGCCCAGAAACTCCGCTTTCCTATCACAAGCAATCACCCACATTTCACAGGCCTACAAAGAGGGGACCTACGCAGGACAGACGCTTTGTAATTCCATTTTACTTCTCGTCTAAAGGAGAAAAACAAGGAGCGCGAGTGTAATTATCCTCAAAAAGATGACAGCCTTTCCAATTTCTCCATCTTATGCAGTCAAGTGGTTTTTGCTCTCTTGATAAGTTGCCAGTGTGACCTTCAGCTCAGCAAGGTTTAGTCACCCATGTAAGAAACAACAGACCGAGAAATCGCTGCAATCCTTTATTTGCTTCTGCCCGCTGGACTTAACAGGACATTTCAATACAATCTCGTACGCTACTCCTGCGAGTAACAAACCTATTTTTCAAATCATCGTAATTCTCTCATTAATTCCACGATATTTTAATTTAAAATGTTGGACTGTAGATTTGCAGTCTCGTTCTATCATGAGTTAAGCCAGTAAGAGTTAAATTTACAAGACAGGACTAGTTGGGGTCAGCAAACTACTGGTCGGTGTGACAGAGCGTGCGGGATCGGCTGTGGAGAGAACGGACTATACGTACAGCGTTCTCCTTCCTCCTGATAAACCCATTCTCCACGATCACAGCAACCAGGCTACGAATAGCTAAGCAAGGAAGTTGATTAACGAGCAGGGACAGCTTACCTTGTTACAGCGATGGGATTACTCGCCCCACCGTCTCTCTGGGAGGTTCCTCCCGTGCCGCACAACAACTCGTGGAGCAAACCCTGAGCCGGCACGGTCCGAGCGTGGTGCAGAAAGGTAACCTCGAACCACCGCTCCCGTACCTTCAAACTGCAGCAGTTCGGCAGCTGCTAAGCAACCAGCCGAGTTATCCCTGCGGAAGCAGCAGCAACCTCCAGAAGAGGGGTGGTGCACAAGCCTGGAGGCCAGAACCACCGTCACCGTTCCTAGGTAAGTCGCAGCCCTGGATTTCGGGCTCTCGTGCAAAAGGATCACAGGGTACTTGTGGGAACTTCGATTATATCCAGAATGACTGTTCATACAACGCGTTAGTACAGAAGACAGTTTCAGGAGCAACAATACAAATTTTCACCCAGCAGAAAGTTATTCCAACACCCTAAGTGTGAATATTTCCTACTACCCTACAGTTTTAAGTCTGCCATCACTAAATTCAAAAAGCATACGTGCTTTAGTCCCTTCTCAAAGTTGTATTAAGCAAAGTTTTTAGAGATTTGGAGCCCGAGTGACAAATTTTTAAGCAAAAACAGCCATAAAAGACCGCCATATTTACAAGGGGTGCAATTAACTCTACAGGAAAGAATCATTGCAGCAACCTAGGAAGGAACTGGAAACATTTAGTGCTTCCCCTCAGATCTCCAATACAACTCACAAGAAAGTAAAGTCTAAATTCTCTCAGCTAGACTTCCAGAACTGCATAGCCAAAGCAGCAGAAACCACAGTGATCTCATTCAATATCAAAAATACTACAATGTTTCACTCTATAAATATAAAAAATTGTACATCTCGCTCCCATTTCCTGCAAATTCTCAAGTGCCAGAAGGGTTTTGCAAAAGGGTTCCTTTTTTTTTTTAAATTTAGAGAGTTAATAAAATAGCAGAAACAAGTAAGTGACTGTTCAGCTGGTCTCATGTTGTCAACCGTGTTTTATAGCAAAGCTAAACGTTACTGGTGCTTCAGGCACACGATATCCATAAGGTAAAAATGCCTTCTTCACATTCTTAATGATTTCCATACATTGTTGCTCAAATCCATTTTTGATGACCCTCTAATTTTCCGATTCAAGAATTACTTTTCTATTCTTTAATTACTGATGGTGCTGATTTCGAGAAGCACAGGCTGAAATCCCATTAATTTCAATGGGACATAAGAGGAGAGGTGAAGTTAAGCACAGTCAAGTGATTTCCTGGATTCAGACCTTCTGTTACAAACCTGGGCATGACAAATTTCAAAAAGATAAAGAATCAAGTCTCAGATGAAGATTTCAATAATGCCATGAAATAGTTCCACATCTTTAAAAGGAAAAAATTGACTGCTGACCAAAACGTGCCCTCTTGAACAAAACCCAAGTATTTTTTGGAATTTTATTTTACGGAAATGTTCCCAATGAAAAGGATCATGGCAATTATGAAATTTCTCACAAAATGGAAAATCTGGGTTCGTTCCTATTCTTCTTAGAGTTTGATCTGTTCTCCCTTACTCTTGCATGCTGTGTAGGATTAAACGTATGACGAAAGACTGATGAGATTTTAGCACACTGCACAGAGCTTCTTATTTTTTCCCTGATTATCAAAGCAAGAAATGTAATGCTAAAAAAATTATTAGCGATTACTGAACTGATGATTTAATTTCCACTGAGCCACAGATTTGAACCTTCCATTAGTAAAACCATTATACCGAGATCGCAGATCAGAAAAAGCCACCCAGGCTTCACATGAGACAAGATTCAGAGGGACAAGGATTCAGAACCCCAGCTCCACACGCAATAGTTTTAGTTTTGCTGGTCAAATGGCCTGAGGAGGATGATACGCAGCCATAGCCTAAGGAAATCTTGTAATAAAGATTTCCAGATCTCCTCTCCCCACTACGTAAGATAAAGTAGAAGACTGTTTCCAGCTGACTCTGTCTACATCTGTGCAGATAGCACTCCTTTCATCCATCAGCGCCTCTTCAAGGCAAACAGGGTGCTATTGAGTTCCAGCACGCACAACTTTCCTCTCCCACGGTCTGAGTATGTTTTCTCTGCGGCACCTAAGATTTATTTATTTTAAGACAGGCATAGACCTTTCTTTTCTGGTTCAAATGCTTGTTTCCTGAGAGAAATCACACGGATGCTCTCCTGAACCTTACCAGTCCACATGGAGATCGAGACCAGAAAATGAGATGAAAGTATATGGCAAAAGTCACTTCAGTTTGACCCTATAGTAAGAAAACACCATGTATTAAATAGCTGGGAAAACGCCAGCATCCTCCGGTAGAGTTTAACTCTGCCATGTGGGTGACTTTTACAGCTGCCTGGGTCTTGGGTTCTGTATGTTATTCCAGCGTGACACTTCAGCCCTTTTTCTATTTCAAGTCACACTGGAAAACGGTTTCAAAATTTAGTCAAAACAGAAGACAAGACCAATAAAACCCATCACATAGAGTTTACCCAGGAAGTGTCTTTAGCTGGTGTTGTAGGTGGCTTTATCTAAGCTTAAGTCTGTTTACCAAAATGTCCTGGATGATTTCATCACTTCTGGTGTACTACTGTAACTTCAGGGAAATGATAAATCTTTAAAAATTACAGGGAGTCTGCACTAAGGCAACATCAAGCTAGTTTATTTCTGAATGAAAGCGTACGCTCAGCAGTGTAAGGCTTTTTTGGCTAGCACACTTCCAGGTCTCACCTTGAGGCCACAGATGGATGCTCGCTTTCATTGCTCCTGGTCCTACCCATCGACAGGAGTTTACTCCTTCCCTCCCCACACCATAGGGCAGGGAACACTCGTGCTATGGCTCTTCCTAAAGCTGGAAGACATCTGCATTAGCTTAACCC